TCAGACGAAACCAGACTAGACCCAAAAAAGTCAGTCTTTACAAGCACTTAGCAGCCATCTGCTTTGTCAGTCACAGATTTACAACCCCTGGACCCAAACACTTAAAGCTGATTCTGAGTAAACACTGCCAGAAGCTTTGCTTTTGGGATCACTAAAAACAACCCCATTATCAACCAATTATGAACGCTTGGGTTGATTGTTATTTTTGAAGGTAGTTTAGTGCTGCCGCCTACTGGTGAAGTTTGTGTTTGACAGCTCATTAGAAGCTTTAAAGCAGGGGTGCACAAATTTTTTATTAATGAAGGGCCAAAAACCAAACTTGATTGAGGCTAGTGGGCCGAAGGTAAATATAGTTGCCATGCTTAATTTCCTAATTGTTTTAACAATATTTAAAATAACTAGAAATCGCTTTAGAATCGATTTAGAATTCCTAGAATTGCTTTGTAACAATCAATAAAAGAAAGATATTTTTGCATTTTTATAATGAACGTATTACAGTAAAAACAAAAACAACACGGCTGTGTTGACACAGTGACAGTGACAATCTCTGATAAAGGCAAAAACCTCTTCATCATTCTTAGTCTCTTCTCAGATAGGATGTTGGACCAAATAAAACTTTGGCCTGCAGGTCCTTCTTTGGGCATCTATGCTTTAAAGCAATAATTTACCCAAAAAATGAAATTTAGCACACTAATTACTCTCCTTCAGGTGGTTACAAACCTTTATGAGCATCTTTCTTCCGTTGAGCACAAAAGAAGATATTATGAAGAATGCAGTAAACCTGTAACCACTTCCATAGTAGGAAAAACAAATACAATGAAATTCCACGGTTACGCATTTTCTAACTCTTCAAAATAAATTAATGCTCAAAAACAGAAGAACTCCTTAAAAGTGTGGAACACTAAAGTAAATGATGACATTGTTTTTATTGTTGGGTGAACTATCCCTTTAATAGTGTGTTTGAAAACTTAAAGGGATACATCACTCAAAAATCAACCTTTATTCATCATTTACTCATTCTCAAGTGGTTCCAAACCTTTATGAGTTTCTTTTGTTGGACACTAAATAAGATATTTTGAAAGAAAGCTGAATAATGTTACATGTAACCTTTGACTTTCATAGTAGGTAAAGCAAATAATATGTAAGTCAATGGTTACATGTTTCCACCCTTTATCGTTTTAAAATGTTTTCTTTTGTGGAGAAGAAAGTCAAACAGGTTTAGAACAGGTAAAGAGCAGATTTAATTTTCACTTTTGAGTGAATTCTATTTACATTACTATCCCTGTAATGTAAATAGAAGAAAACAACGTTTCCTCTTCGATATTTCTCCTATTAGTATCTCAGAATGAATACATAGCTTACATTACTTTAACAGGACCGCATTGTTGTGATGCCTGGGAAGAGGGAAGCGAGCGAGGTGAATATGCTCATGTAAATTTACCTCTCGTTAAGCTCCGCCCCTCTCTCCTAATCCACCAATCTAGACTCCGACAGTTTGTCAAGCCCCGCCCGCCTCAGCGTGAGCCTATCAGAATGCGAGGAGCAGCTGGATCGTCTTCAGCAGGTGGAGCTCGCGCGCTCGGCGCCCATGTGTCGTTGGAGGGCAGGAACCGTGCAGGCGTGGCTGGAAGTGATTATGGCCATGCCGATGTACATGCGCGCCTGTGCCGACAACGTCAAAAGCGGGAAGGTAAATGACAACCTGTCATTTTATTACTTAAACAGTTGTCTACGTCATTATTCTCTAATCTATTGCGCACTGCTGATCATATCAGCTTTTAATGCTGTAGGGTGTTTCAACAAGCAGTGTTTGGCATGAATGTTCAATCTGTGTCTTTATTAGGTCTTGTTAGTTCTTACGGATGAGGATCTGGGAAATGTTTTGGGAATCAGTAACTCAATGCATCGCAGGAAACTCCGTCTGGCCATTGAAGATTACAGGGATGCTGAAGCAGGACATGGGTGAGACATGCCATAAGACAACAACAAAAACATAACAGAAAATTCACTCATAGAGGAAACCCCTACAGTCCTCATTACTGACACAGTCAAGGTCAATTTAAAAACATCTTATTATTCGATGTTTGTAATGACAAGGCATGTTAATAGTTCAAAAAAGTCATTTACACACTTTTATGTCACAATCAAACTAAAAATTATGCCAGAAAAGAAATCTGCCATCATTTACTTGCCCTTCACTTGTTTGATTTTCTTCATTCTTTTGAACATAAAAGAAAATATTTAGGAAAAAATGCTGGTAGCTGCGACCCGTCTAAATGTTTTCAGTTTTTTTTCTTATTATGGAAGTCGATGGGTCTCAGCAATCAGAATTCTTCAAGATATCTTCTTTTGATTTCAACTGAAGAAAGAAACTCATAAAGGTTTTAAACCACATAAGGGATAATATATGAAAGGGAGACATTGGCTTTTACAGGGTTACCTTAGCAATGCCAACAGCAAACAAAGTTTGGGGACTACAAAAAAAACAAAAAACAAAAAAACATCCGGGTTAGTGAAATCACAAACGCTTCAGGTCATGTGCATTCACCATGCGCATACACCCTTAGGGTGTGGCCCCAGATGCGCTGTAATGTTATTGCAGAGAAAGCTAAAATGCCGTCCAAATGCTGCTATTTCCACCAAGCTTCTTCTGTTTCTGTATTTGGGCTTTCAAAGGACACAACACAAAGAGAGAAGTGCTTACAATTTAATTTCAATTACGTTCCAGAGAATAAAAAAAATATAAAGCTAGCAAATGACAAAGGACAGCTTCCAAAATCTCTCAGTTCAGTGCTGCATTCGGCTAAAAAAATCCTCAAAGAAGGAGCAGTTCCACGACAAAGACAACGGAAAATGCTGTTTGGCACTGTTAACAATTTAGCCACAAATTCATATTTATGCGTCAAACCACTGTGAACAGCCACAATCATCAGCAGCCACCTTCCCTGCATTCTACATCTCAAATAACAAACTAGCAAAAGGTATGTGACATTTCATCAAAGTGGAAGAAACTTGTCAGATTTTATTTTAGAAATCAGCTGTGAGGTTCAGCTGTATTCAGCTCCTCATTTTCTGTCCGGTTCAGGCTTAAACTGATATGGTTAACAGCAAAGAAAGCGTGTGCTTGTGGAGACATTGTTCACGCTTTTCCTGGTGACATGGAGCCGATCTGCGAATCACAGCACAATATGTTAGATGACCAATCAGAGCCTCTTGAGGTCGGACCTTCGGAAGAACTAGGAAAAATGACAGTCGTTTTCATGTTAGCTGAGTAGCAGTAAATAATTAAAGTAGGATATTTTTTCACAAATGAAGCATGAGCACACATTGCTTTGCATCTTATAAACACAACCAAGCCTTAACAATACACTCTAGACCACCCCTTTAAGGTTCAGGCAACCAAATGATAGAAGCTTCCAAAATATCACAGAGGAATTCTTTATAAAAAAAAAAGAACATGAATGAAACAAGCTGTTTAATCTAGGTCCTGTGAATAGATACAGTCACTTTACTGTATATAATGGATTGGTTTGAGGGTGAGTAAATGATGACAAAATGTTCAATTTTGAAATGAAAACAGCATTGAACACCACTGAACAGTCATGAAATAACTGTTTGGTTTTGAACTTTTAGTATTTACTTAAACCATTAAAATGTCCTAAGATTGTATTTTATATATTTGTTAACCATATTTAAGGTAATTTAAACACACAGTAACACAAAATTAAAGCTTGATTATTGAACAATGGTATTTATAAATTGTATTAATTTTTTTACACATACAAAACAGATTTTATTCATACTCTCAGTGGACATATTATAGTTACCTAGTACTGGATTGCAGCTGGAAGGGCATCCGCTGCATAAAACATATGCTGGATAAGTTGGCGGTTCATTCCGTTGTGACCATCTGATTAATAAAGGGACTAAGCGGAAGAAGAATGAATGAATAAATGTATTTTGTGTCTCAGTCTTTCTAAAGCAGCTGAACTGGATCATCACTGGGTGGCTCAGGCATGGCTGACTGATGTGGGTCTCCCTCAATATTCCCAGTTCTTTCACACTCACCTTGTGGACGGACGTCTCCTGAGTACCCTCACACGTGCTGACTTGGAGAAACATCTGCACGTATCTAAAAAAGCCCACCAGAACAGCCTCCTGCTGGGAATACAACTGCTACACACGCTTAACTTTGACAAAGAGGTAAAAACACACACCCGAAGAAGAGTGTGCTGGGAATTCCCACAGGCACTAAAGCTTACCAAAAAGGAAAAACAACCATAACAAACATCATAAAAACACAGCAAGCTTCTATTGAGCACAACAGTTGGGTTCCAGAAGCAAAGCAAAAAAACTGCATTCATTTGCTTTAAATAGGAAATAGATTTTAAAGACAGCCCTGTTGTGAGCTCAGACTTAATACTTGCTTTTGTTGAGCACATTTGTTCATAATAATTGAACTTATTTTTCAAATATTCATGTTTAATCACATAGTTCATAAAACATACCATATATATGTATTAGTTATTTTGGTCATTCACAGTGAATATTTTTGTGCAGTTATGTTAGAATGCATGACCATTCAATTTACAACACCTTGAATAAAACAGGGAACAAAAACAAGAGGATGTACATTGTTTATTTATTATTTTGTAAAAGAAGAGTTACAAATCATTAAACACTGGTGGCTTGACCATATTGTACACTACCTTACAAAAAAAGTCTTGTTGTTGATCCCAGCTGTAAATGCAACAAATAATTACTTGACTTCTAGTAGATCATTTGGAAAAGTGGCAGAAGGTAGATTTTTCTGATGAATCATCTGTTAAACTGCATCCCAATCATCACAAATACTGCAGAAGACCCATTGGAACCCACATGGACCCAAGATTCTCACAGAAATCAGTCAAGTTTGGTGAAAGAAAAATCATTGTTTGTGGTTACATTCAGTTTGTGGGCATCCAAGAGAGGTATCAAACCTGAGGTATCAAGACATTTGTGCAGCCCATTACATTACCAACCACAGGAGAGGGCAAATTCTTCAGCAGGATAGCGCTCCTTCTCATACCTCAGCCTCCACATCAAAGTTCCTGAAAGCAAAGAGGGTCAATGTGCTTCAGAATTGGCCAGCTCAGTCACCAGAGATGAACATTATTGAAAGAGGAGGCATCCAAATGAATCCTAATAATCTTGATGAACTCTGGGAGTCCTGCAAGAACGCTTTCTTTGTCTTTCCAGATGACTTTATTAATGTTACTTGAGTCATTGCAGAGATGTATGGATGCAGTCCTCCAAACTCATGTTAGTCAAACACAATATTAAGTCTTTTTCCACTGCACCATGACTTTATATTCTATACTGTACACTATTTCTGTTAAGTGACAAGACTTTTGTCTAAGCAAAGTCAGACCTTAATGTCCTATTTAAATCGTTAAAAATCAAGACATGATTATAATTTATTTAGGTAAAATAAGCGTAATCAAGAGGCCTTTGCCTTTCATATAAGCCACTTCTGATACCAAATGATCAATTAGAAGTGAAGTTATTATTTGTTGTTCCTAAAACCCTAAAACTTGGATGGGCGACAACGCAGTGTACCTTACCAAACTGTAATTGAATTGCCATCTCATAAATTTAACTTTTAAGAAGGACTTGAAATTAGCAAGAGTGTTTTTTATATTGTTTGACATTTTTAGAATTGTGGTTCTGTCGCTTATTAAAGTTTTAAGTGCACAGACTTCTACCTTTGTCTACCTTTGTGTCAGATTGTCATACAAGTTTTTGCATTTGCTGTGATTCATTTCATACAGTAGCTGGTTTGTTTGGTTCATTGCTTGTAAAATTTTAACAAATGCATTTAGATTAAAAATCCCTGTGGGGAAAATAAATGATAAAAATACTTCCTGAAGCAGCTCTGCCAAAAGGCAGACAGGCACTAATGCACTTTATAGTAAGTTAATGAAGTCAAACACTTGTATAACTAAACACACATGTTTTTTTTTTACTGCAGATTTTGCAGTCCAGACGTTCAGAGTGTGAGAATCAAAACACAGACCCTGCCGTCTGGACTTGTCAACGCATCATTAAATGGATCAAAGAGATTGATCTGAAGGTGCCAAAGAGAGAATACAGCTATGCTAGATGTTGGTGTGTGGGGGGGAAAAACTGAGAGCAAAAAGTGTCTTTGTGTTTTCATTCAGGAGTTTGCTGAAAATCTTCAGAACAGTGGAGTGCATGGTGCCGTCATGGTGTTGGATCCTTCTTTCAGCTCCGACACCATGGCAACAGCTTTATGTATTCCAAGCAACAAGCACATGGTCCGTCATCACCTGAGTGAGGAGATGAAGGCTCTTGTCAGTGCAGCCAGGTGAGAGAGTCACTGACAGTATGTGTCTAAGAACACTACAGATGAATTCATCACTGTTGTTAAAGGACCCATGACCCATGCCTTGATATTTTTTTGACATAGGAGAGGTCTTTGTTTTATTATCAACTTGCAAGTTTAAACCTTTAAAACATCCTAATCATTAACAAAGTATTTATTTAATCAAGCCTTAAGAGGATCTTGTTTGCCAACAAGGTGCCATGTGATGTCACAGGGGTGCATTCATTTGCATATACACTTCCTCCACCCACTGGTATTCGGTTGCTCAGAGCACTGCACTGGATGCAAACATTGTATCACATCAAAAGAAATAAAATAAAAAATCAGGGCTGCATTGAACATATTTTAAAGGGCACATAGTTTACCCCTTTTTATGATTTAATATTAATATTATGGTTCCTCTGAGTGTGCCAGTTCAGATTCAGTTCAAAACACAGTTCAGATTTGTTTATTATGATGTGTTAAAAAGTCGTTTTGGGGGCATGTACACAGGTCGCTGTTTTAGGGGTGTGTTGCTTCATTGGTTTTGACTTCCCGCAATATGACGCTCTATACATTATACCCACACACATGTCTGTCCAAACAGCTTGAAAAGTAGATTTTTCACCATAGGTGCCCTTTAAATAGAAATGGTGTTGCTTTGGACACATTGTTCTGCTTATGCAAACAGGGCAACTACGGCAGCCGAGAAGTCCATTCAGAATTGTCGGATCCTGATGAAATGTGTTTAATGATGTAAATTATAGATATTCACTTCAGAAAAAAAAAACACCCCAATTGAGTGATGGGAAGTGGAAACCAAAACCTGCGATTTAAAATTAGCCTGGTGTTTCAGGATGAAAAGATAAACATTTCAGGTAAAGAATAACCCACTGACTGTACCTCAGAGACTGTATTAGGATCTATAAAAATATAATAAATATTGTGAAGTTTATTATTAGGCTTTTCATTAGTGGTGATCACTGTGGTTGTGCAATAATAGTGTAATATTTAAAGTTTATATTGTAATAGAAAAGTTCATAAAAGTTTTCCTCCACAATACAATCGCAAAATATATAAATATCTCTATATTTTTTTTGTTACATTAATCAGTGTCTAGCAATCTTTCCTAGGGAGATAGACTGTAAGATGTTGCAATTACTACTGGGATGATATTTTTGACGTATCCAACAAACAAAAGAAAACATTTCTCAAACTCCATTGAGCATCGATTTCAGGAAATTACATTCAACCTGTGTGTTTGTAAAAAAAACATTAAAATTATTTTTCACTCAAAGCCGACCATTCTGTCATTTATTCACTCTTAACTTCTTCCAAATTTGTTCAGAAGATATTTCAAAGAAAGCTGGATACCTGTTTCCATTAACTTCCATAGTATTTGTTTTTCCTACGATAGAAAGTCAGTGTTTACAGGTTTTCAGCCCTCTTCAAAATATCTTCATTTCTGTTTAACAGGATAAAAATATATGGAACTACTTGAGGGCGAGTAAATATTGAGTGCTTTATTGGGTGAACTGTCTCTTAAACATTACAAGTAAAACTCAACAAACATATTTGAATTTTTCAATTTTTGTATTTGGCAGGTGATTTTATCCAGAACTACTTACATTTAATTAAAAGTACACAACATGAGCATTGGTACCATGCTCTAAGACTTAAGCTACAGGCAAGCTGTTATTAAAATGAAAAAATACACATCACTGAACCATTAAATGTCTTTTTAAATTCGTCTTACAAGATGAAGAGAGTTTCTTAACAGAAGTGTTTATCTGTAGGGCGGGGCTTGAGCAAGAAGTTGAGCCTTTGGGGACTCCGCCCACACTCCACCGGCAGAGTTCTCTGAGCAGCTCATCACCAAGCTGTCATGATGACCAGCAGTCTTTGAGGAGGGTGAAGGTACAAAACTAAACCTGAACCGTATGTTCTTTTAATTAAGAATCAGGAAAGATGACTATATTAGAGTTTGCACTAATAAATAAGATTTTGTGTTTTGTCTTTTGCCGCTTTGAATGTTGGCGCTCTGTAATGCAAGATAAATTCTGGTTGACTGTCAGCGTGTTTATTGTTTTTCAGCTAAAATGCATTTGTATACATTTTATTTCAACAGTATCATTCCAGTCTGTCATCATTTATAGTTACTTTTTTGTAGAAAAAAACAGCTATAAAATTTATACTTGAAAGAAATTTGATCAGGTCTTTATAGAATAAAATAATGTCCAATATATCAACTGAAATGGAAAGATCACACGAGCCCTTCATTTTTCCCATAGCTATACAGGTCAAGTGTTGTCAAAATGATTGCAAATTTAGTGTGTGACTTAATTAATTTATGGCAATTCATGGCAATGTATGACAGTCAGTTTTCTCTTTACAAAAAACAGTCTAATACAGAGGTTTAAAAAGATCATTTAAAGCTCTCATCTGCTTCTTTAATGCTATATATATATATTTAGTTTTATATTTATCAACATTTTTAAGTCATTCCATTTTTTTATCATCATTTACTTACTCTCATGTTATTTTTCTGCGATAAATATTGCAATATGAAAACAATGGTTTCACAAGATGGTTTGAATATCTCTATTTGTCGTTTTTTTGAGGAGTCGAACAGTATTGAGGTATAGACATTGAATAATTACAATGCAAAAAATGGTTTTCTTACTTTGTCTCGTTTCTAGTCCTAAACAAATTCTTAGAGCAAGTCAATTTTAAGAGTCTAAATAAGTCAAAATTTGGAGATTTTTCCTTAAAACAATCAAAACTATCTCTCTGTTAGGTAAGTAAAATAATCTTTTTTTCAATTTGCAATGTACAGTAGATATTTAAACTAGTAACTACAAAAATTCAAAGTAAGAAATTGTTTTCAACATATATCGTATAAAATTCTGTATAAATAAATGCAGTTCGTCTTTGTTACACCTCCAAACATCGTCAAACTCTCTTGAAATGCTGAGTCACAGGCCTTAAAAGCACATGTACAGGATACATTTTCACTATTTTATGGTTAAATTCAGCAAAGATGCTACAAATCAAGTGTGTTCTGTAGCTCCATGTCAACTATAATTCCGACTCAACATTGCAGATCTTACGATATATTGTGCAGCCCTAATTTAGATGATAGTAGTCAGTGGTGCTCTAGTGTTGTTTGGTTCATAGCATCATTTTTTGTGTTCTGAAGAATTATGACTTGAGGCGAATAATATGATTTAATGTTATTATTCTTTTGAGAACCATCTCTTTAAATGTGGTTATTCAATACATTATGCAACTCTTTGCACAACCATTATGCGCTCTCTTTGCAGGGTCTTTTTTTCTGCATTTTCTTTGAGTGTATTTCTCAGTAACAAAGCATCCGCAGAGACTTAAGATTTGTATCATTGCTTGAATGATTCTTAAAAGTCAAATATTTGTAAAAGCACTGAATCAGAAATCTGATAGACCTGTTTCTTCCTACAGCAGCAGCTCGGTCTCAGCCCAAAGAATCTGACTGCACGGAACATCAGCCACCAGAGCAGATCTGGATCATTTCCAAGGAATGGACTTCAGGAGGTTTCGCTACAAAGGGAGCGTTGCCCGGTTCGCCATTTTTCTGCTGCTGAGCTCACTAATGTCTGAGTCTCTCTCTTGTCAAACTACACCTGAAAACATGACATTTTCCTAATTCTCCCAGATAGGGGAGGATTTTATTTTCCTTTTCAAGCTAAACTGAAGAAATCTCACATTTTCAGATTCTAGATTCAGTTTGCCAGTAGGCCTCAGCATTGTTTTGTAGACCTTATTTTATTGTGAAGGTGGACTCATTTGTCTCAAAGTGAGACCGTGTTAAGAATTCATTTGAAAAAATGTGTTCAGTTGGATGTTTTGTGAGATCTCCAAAATTTTCATTCTTTAAGTTGGATTTTCTTTTTTTTCTTTTTTTTTGTTAAAGTAAGTATTTTTTAATTAATATTTTAAGAAATGATACTAGATATTAGATTTAATTAGAATTTACTATAAATGTTATGTTACATGGCACATTATTGTTTAAATTTAAAGTTCTGGTTCCACTGGGCTTTATACTGTTAGGAAAATTCTCACAGTTGTTTTATGCTGATGTCGGATAAATATGGCCAGATTCATGAAAATTTTCTTAGGGTAAATGTTCTGTATTTTTTTTAACCCTTGTGCACTGTTCAAATTGACTACCCTTTTGTTATAGGGATAAAAATATCCACTGAGTTAAGCTGCTTTAAAAAATGCATCAGATAAATATTATTTTCAATTTTCTTTACATAAATTTTTCAATCAACCTCAGTCCTGATCAAAACTACTAAATTGTTTAAATAATTACAGGATTTTAACTCTTTAATTGCCAAGTTCACAATTGATGTCACTGATTTGCTGAAAACAACACACAGAAAATGACATATTTTCAAAATAAAAATTATTTTGGTCTGGATTTTTTAAACCTTTTATCACAGTCTTAGACATTGGCTTTGATGCTTTGTTAGATTTTAATTTTTTCTCCCAAATTTACTGTTTGTGGCTGTTTTTGCTCCATTGAATTTTATTATAACCAAATTTGATGGTGCATAAATACACAGTCTTTGTTTTAGTTTACTTTATGTTGTGTAAGAGCTGAGTTACATATTTAGATTTTTCTTTGACACATCAAGGTAAGTGCACAAAGGTCACTCAAACATACGTGCTTTAATTTGCAGTTATACTCCATATGAAAATCAGAAACTAAGCTTTTTTGAATAGGCCTATATCCAAAGGGTTAATAGTGCCAATGATGATCAACTGTAAAGATTACACATTGTACCTCTTGCCAACAGAGAAAACCACCAACAATCAAAAATGCATGACTATAGGCTGTCATGGTTTTGTAATCAAAAAATGTGGTTATAATGGAAGTCAATGGGACAAAACCGCCACCAACAGTAAATTAGGGAGAAAAAAAATTAATTAATCAAAAGCAATGCATCAAAAGCAATGCTCTTTCATGTGCAAGACTTTGATAAAAGGTACAAAAAAATTAAATCCACAATTACATTTTATATTAAAAATACGTCATTTTATGTTTTTTTTTTCACCAATTCAGTGACATCGTTTATGAATTTGGAAATTAAGGAGTAAAAATATAGCAGTTTTGATCAGGACTGAGGTTAATTAACAGATTGAATATATTTATCTGATGCACTCTTACAGCAGTTTAATTTAGTGGATGTTTTCATCCCTAACATAACAAAAGGCTAGTAAATTTGCCCAGTGTATCGTTGAGTACTTTAAAAAATTTAAAGGATTTTCTTAAAATATGTGTCAAAATAAGTTTTTTTCACCAAAAATCATTCCGCTAGCTGAAACAGAGAAAGTAATGGCCAAATTAAGACTCAAAATCACCCGAGTGGATAAAAACATCCCCAACAGTACATACAGTAAGGGTTAAAGGGATAATTCATCCCAAAATAAAACATTACCTCGCTATATATTTCCAAATCTTTATGACTTTTTTTCCCTGCTTAACACAAATGGAGATATTTTGAGGTGTGTTGGAAACTGCTAACCATTGGCATCAATAATGTAATAGTAATAATAATAATAATAGATAATAATAATAGAAATAGTAGTAATACTATTAATAAAAATCTAGATGTAATAAAGACGTGAATAAGGCTTTCTGCATCAGCAAACTTAAGAAAATATCCTACTATTGAAGTCAATGAATACTGGTTTTTAACATTTAATAAAAATATCTTCTTTTGTGGTCTATAGAACAAAGAAACTCAAACAGGTTTGCGACAAGTCAAGGGTGAGTAAATTATGAAATCAATTGTATTTTTGTGAACTTTCCCTTCAAGTGCAATTCTGGAAAAAATAAAGAAAATCTCAAATTTTATAAGAACAATCTAAACAATCCTTAACGGGTTTTTCTCAAAGTTATTAAATAAGAAGTAAATTTCAGGAGAGGTCTTCTTAAGGTTTCATCAATCCGTCCCCAGGTCCTTAACTACTGGTCACCGCTCATGTTTTTCCAATCACAGTGGATAATTTTGTGTAATATGACATTTGTCTCTGAGAAGCTGTTTGCTTCTTATTTACCCAAACATTGCATTTTGTGTTCAAATTGTAAATCACTAATCTCAGTATCATCTAGCATGTTACCAACGTGAAGGTCAGGCACATTGATAAGTAGCAGGGATTATTCTAATCATCCTAGTAATTGCGCAAAGATCACAGATATGACTGTTGGACATTCACACTGTTTATCAGGCCACTTCTAGTTTTAAAGAGGCCAACATGTTCAAAGACAACACATTCTCCATTTCAAAAGGTCTTTTGAGTTTAGTATTTCTCTTACACATTTCTAATGTTTGTAACAAATCACACCCTCAATTCCCACAGGATTATTAATGTACTTTGTTATAGTGAAAAACATACGCAATGCTTTTCAGAGCACTCCTTGTTCTGTTTACTATAAGAGTTGAGTACTTTATCTTAAACAGGCACAGTTATGAGGAAGCAGCTTGCCTATACGGTCAACCTTTGTCCAACAGCATTAACAATGCCAGAATCACAGTAGGTAAATATTGCTGAGCGTTTGTTCCGCTCTAGGAATTTATGTTTGGATGAACCCCTTCTGACAGATTTATGTGGGTCTGGAAACCGGAGTGATTAATAAGACTGGTATCTTAAAACCTGTAAGAGATTAGAGACATTTCAATGTGATAAATTAAATCTGTGACAGCATGCCAACACATCTACAGTCGCCCAGAAGATTATCATTAATTATTATACAGGTAATATTACTGAATTATAAAGAGAGGAATAAATTGGTTCAACTGAAAAGAAAAATTTGCTGTTAATTTGCTCATCCTCGGGACACTGGAGATGTGGGTGCTTTTTTGTTTTTCTTAGGATGAACACTAAAGAAGATTTTTAGCTGAAATTGTTGTCCTTGGTGATTTATAAAATCCAAGTCAACAGCTTCTGGCAGTTTTTCTTTCACAATTTTTTTCTTTTCTTTTGAGAGTCAAAAAAAAGCATATGGCAAAATCAATACCACCTGGCAGATAAATTGAGCTCTTATAAAGCAAAACAAATCTTCCGTGAGCTCAAACTCCCACAAGACCTGACGCTGTTTGTTTAAATGTTATGTTTGTTTAAATTGTTACGCAGGCAAAAGCTGAATCAAAATTGACTACTACTCATGAGGGTAATACATTTCAATTTGAACTTATCTAACGACTGTTCGAAAAATAAGTTCTATATATTATGATTTTGAGTAGAATTCAGAAACATCTACCGTTTTATCATTATTGTGTGACCTATGCTTCATTCCCATTCATAAATTCTCTCTTGTGGCCTCATGGTATATAGTAAAGCTTAATTTAGATGCACACTTCAGAATCTTGCCAGCAGTAATAGGTCATCCAGGTACTTCTTGCCTAATATTTTTCGAATATTATGAATTCAGTACTGTTTACTGTACTTTTCAATTTCTTTTAACTTTCAGTGTTGTTTTTCACATACTATAAAGTATCGAAGTATGCCATTTCAGATGTAGGGGAGAGCAGGGCACAAAGTAACTTAGGGTGAAATGTAACACAGCGTTTTAAGGTACTTGCTCAGCCTTAACCATGGCATGCTTTGTTATGATTTACCACAATGTTGGCAGACATTTTCTGCCAGTTATTGAAAAAGTTTGGCGAAATTTGAATGAATAACACAGGAGAAACCAGCATTATTGCAGCATAAAGTATTTTTATTATACTCAAAAAATCTGTAAAATGATGTAAGTAAAATCTTATATTGTGATTACCGTCTTCTAGGAATTTGAAAGATGGAACACAGAAATTGCTAGATAGTTTTGAGGAAAACACAACACGGCAGGGTTAGTTAGTAATAGGGTTTTACAAATAAGTCACATACTGTTGGACACCAATTGAACAAACTAAATATTTTTTTTAATTTTGAGTGTATTGTTGGAAACTTTTTTAATAAAAATGTATAAAAACTAATTCTATTCAAGTTTTTTATAGAAAAAAAGTAAATTTATTGCTAATAATGCAAATAAATGCATTGTATAATAATGCTAACAAATCCAAATATGTTTATCCAATAGATAATAAATAAGCATGCTGTTCTACGTAGAATAAAAAGAGGAAATACACTATCTAAAGTAAACCGAATTTAAATTAATTATGTGAAATCTGCCTTTTTAAGCATGTGTTACTACAAACCCTCTGTCTGTTACAATTTGCACCGCATTTGAGGTAAATAACATTTTTACTCCTGGCACTTTTGGCTATACTACACAGAAACCATAGGTCCGGCAATCATACTTTCAGTGCTCATTTGTAGGAGAGACTTGTGCATTGTTAGTAAAAAACATGGTTTGTCTAACCCCATTACTTTAATCATTATTTGGGCCAAAACCAAAAAGTGTTACTTTGTGCCCTGTTCTCCCCTTGCACAGCCCAATTCACTTGTTAAGTCTAACATCATACGAAGCAGCTTCTGGCTCTTACAAACTGTATGGGGAGGCTCAACAAAGAGTAATAATAAATGTTTACAAAGGCCTATAATATTTTAAAAATTCATGATCGCAATACAAATAACCATGTCTAATATCA